CCCGCCCCTGCTTCCGGCCACGGCTCCTCCCCTGTAGCAGCTGCTCCCCCACACACACACACACACACAGAGGGGGTTCAGTGCCGCGTGGAGACACCGTTTTAAGTCAGTTTTGTCGGCTGACTCAAAGGACATTTCATGTTCGTGTAAGGAAATACCTGGTCCTTCACACATAAAAACTCACTAACCTGAGTTGGCTGGAGCTTTTAGTTATATTAATCTGGAAGCATGAAACATCATTTAGGTCCTGTTTCCATTCACGGGGTCATCAGTCCATTTTTTGTGAGAATTAAACTAAACTGCTGAACAATTCAGAGCACTTAAATGCCTCTCCATGAGAGTTTGTTTTTTTTCTCCAAGCACAGGAGCACAAACTAGCTCTTCTATAATCATCTATCAGGAGACACTCAAAACAGCTGTGCTAACAGCTGTACAAAATACACCAAAAAACAACCCTCCACACAAGGAGTCCGCCTACCACACAGCAGCAACACAGTAACTCTCAGTTAACACCTTCACTCTCTATCACAAGTGACTTAGGCTAATATGGAGTGAAGATGCACCAAAACTAATCAAGGAAAATTAATCCTAAATCTAAGTAGGAAAAAAAAAACCCTTTAAATTACTTACTTTCTTCACCTGTTGTAATCAGATGCCCTTCCTTCTATACAGCGAAGCTGAAGAGCCATAGCATTACAATTTATAGACTTACTGACTCAAAGAATAGTGTCACTCCCTGGACCCTTAATCTCCTGATACCACAGCAACTGCTGCACCTGCCCCTGATTGATGCCACCCAGCCACATCTCCTTCTGCAGTGTATAGAAAGCCCTGGCACACACAGAATAGGTATTTACTCAATGGTACCATTTATCTGAGTTGTTTCTGTAATTTTAGCAAGCTTACAGTCTTCAGTTGCCAAAGTGTAGCTTTCCAAGCTAGATAGGGCTAGAAGCGCTTAAAATATTTAATTTCACCCCTTTGATCTTCATGAAAATTTGAGCTAAGATTAGAGCTCCCAGGCTAGCAGACTCCTTATTCCTCTGCTGCTGGGACTTCAAGAGAAACTAGCTCAGGGGGTCTTAAGCTTGGTATCACAGAGGCCTGGCAATGTGATGGAGGTTCTGGTCCAGGATAGTGTTTTTGCTAGGCTACCAAAAATTTTGGCTTTTTGCCCCATTACAGCACAGATATCTTCTGGGTGCCCATCCAAGTATGGATGCCTATTTGTTTGCACAATACGAAGTTTCATCCAGCAAATACTGAACTTTTGTGCTAAACTGAGGTCCAGCTGTAATACCTGCCTCCATACAATTACTGTTTTTTACTGGTTTCTTTCACGGCTATCCTGCTTGTAGTGCTTTACATAGATGAAGTACTACTGATGAACACAAAATATATACTATGGAAACATCATACGTTGTACAAATCCCTCAGTGTTGATTAATAGCAATAATAATCCACAAGCAATTGTGTTTTTATTTTTCCACATTTGTTCTATGGCCATTTTCCTGCAAGTTTGATTATATCAAGAAAGTGTTTAATGAATCAGGAAAAATAGCAATATATGGTAGAAGAGCTTTATGCACAGTGCTGAGACTTATTTCTTTTCGTTGCTGAAAATAGGACACTGGGGGCTAGTCGGTGCATTTATGGCACTAAGTTTTTACAGTCTTTCCTTACTAAAAGTCACACACAGATTTATAATTGCCAACATGCATTTCCAGTTGCTGAAAGTAATAGCTGCAATCTAAGGCAACAGAACTGCAAAAGCAGAGATGTGCATACATCGTGTTACATTTCTTAAGACATCAGACCCATGCCTTTAACAGAACTGCATTGCTCCACAAAAGCTTTTCAACAAGGTTACAGGCTTCCATACAGCCTCTTTTCCACCTTCTTTTTAAAATATAAACCCCTCTCGAAAGCTGATAAATTTCTGACTCTATTCCAACTGATCTTGTCTTAACATCCCTATAGAAGCAGGTATTTTATCCCACTTGTTGCGGATGGTCAGGTTCAGAATAACAGCTGCTGAATCTGATACTGAGCTGCACCATCCTTCCCTCCTAAGGAATATCTAGGAACAAGCTGTCCTGTTCTCAGGGGCTGGAGTTCCTGGATAGTTGTGTCCATACTTAGAGGAGTTTTCAGTCTCCACTGACCTCTTTGATTTCCCTTGCCTGGTATGACAATAAATTCTGAAATACATCAGAATAAGATAGGAAAATTATGAAATGAACCAGTAACATGATGATTCATGGAGGCATAACTTTTCAGTACTTTTTTAAAGGTAGTCTGACTGCTTTTTCACTGTGATACTAAATTTGCATAGAGTTCCTTACCCCTTGACAATGACTACTATAATCATCAAGCTCATCTTCTGAAACATTTTGTGTTGAAGAACACTCCTGTAAGGGCCATTTCTTTAGAATGATGTTTTATGGAATGTTTTTTCAGAAGTTCAGATATTGGATATAGCCTATGGAATTAAATACTCTCTTGCAACCTTACTACTTTTTGTCAGTTTGGTGGGATGAAGATACTGGACACTATCTGAATTTGACCAGTTAAGCACCTCTCTCACATAAATGAATAGCAAAGAGGAAGTTACCTCCAACATATAGCACTTGCCTTGCCCATCAAGCAGTGTAGAAACATCTAGTAGCTCCTCTTAGTAAAGGTACAATATCCTCAGTTACAGACACAATCCTCTTGACTGTACTAACCTCAGTTGATGTTTCGACTTGTAAGGATGAGAAGTGTAGCGGCTCTGCCATACTGTGAAGACACTTGGTGCAGCTGTTTCACACATTGTCATTTTGATACTTCCATTGTTATAAATTATACTGGCAAAGCTGTTAAAATAGCTCTGTTTAGATGCAAAGAATCCAGATTTTGCTTTTCTGTGAGGCTGAAGGCAGCCTCAGTGAACAGAGACCTAAAGCACTGACGTTTGGACATGTGTGGCACTTGCTGCTGAAAAACACTTGGCAAGTTAGCACCACGGATCAACAGGCTTCAAAGAGACATTTAAACTTTCCTATTAAGGATGGAAAAGTCATTTTGAAAACAGGATCTAGCCAGACACAGCCACATATTTGTGCAGGGGTACTTTAGAGCCATCCTTCATACAGATGTTCTATACAGCCTATTTAAAAAGAAAAGCTGTAAAGATTTTCTAAAAAAGAAGGTGGTGCAGTTTCCAATTTCTTCTGTGTGGTAAGAGTATTTTGCTCACCTGTTCAGACAGTACAATATATTATGTTCAGAGGGCTAGAATTCTCCAGATATGCATAGATTAACTGATCAAAACTCCTTTTTCTTTGCAATGTCTTGGCAGCCACTGATTGATAAGCCATAAAATGTTCATTCGTTGCCCAGAGCTTCCCATGAGTACTGAAGATTACACCATTCAACCAGTGCAGCAGAGCACTAAGCAGAATTAGAATACTTAGAATTATATTAATCTAAAGATCGTTTCTTTGGGGTAAAACAAGCAGATAATTTACATAATGTTGGTTATGCTTACTCCTCTGTATGTGAAACAATAAATGATTCACAGGGCTGAGAACACAATCACACTTTTCTCAAAGTCAAGCAAAGTCTAGTGTAGTAGCCTTAATAACACAGCTTAGCAACCTTTGGAAACTGTTTATATAAACTTTGGATTTAAAAAATGTCTCACTTTTGATAAGGCCTTATGGAAACTCTGGACGGTTTTAATTTTTTTTCCATAAAAAGACTGGAACAGCAAAACAGTGAGATGAAGGCCTCCATAATCAGATGGCAACTAGTGAAATTATGCAGAGAAACAAGATCTATAGGGAAGCTTGATAGCATTTTTAGCAAGAACTCAAGGCATGGTTAAGAAAACCAGGATGGATGACAGAAGTTCCAGGAAAGACTGCATCAGATCGAGAAATCCATTTATGTATATCAACTGTAAATATGCCATCTCTGTCTACTAACTCTTGGAGGCTGAGAATATTCTGGGCAAGTATCACTAAATGGTCGATCTGTATTATTCCCAATATATGTTCTGGAAAGGTGCTAGAAACAGCATGCTAGGCTACTCGGAGTTTAGGTCCATCCTTACACAGTCAGTAAATTCTTATATAAAATATGTAAAAAGAGGACATCAGGAGAACTTATATTTTCTAAAACATACATATCATCGTCTTATCCAAAAGTACCTTTTTGTTTACTTTGCCAGGATCTTTATATCAGATGTTAATAAGGACAGAACTGTTGGATATCTGTCCAAATTGTGCTTGTTTTCAGGTAATGTTGTTATTTAGCATAGCCACAGATAGGAGGGCCATCAGAAAATTCTGTTTTCTTCTTCTGCAGTCATATACACATTGTAAGAAAAAAATGCAGCAAAGGAATCATTCAAAGTGTGAAGGGCATTGCCCTTTTTCAAGCAGAACTAATTCCCATAATCCAAAAAGAAGATTCTCCTCTGATAACTACACTGCTCCTGGGACCTTAGAACTCCAGAGCAAAGAGAG